CTTTCCCCCCCCCCCCCCCGGAATTTCTGCGAGGCCCCCGATGAACGCATGGGTGACTACAGTTTACCTCGCGAGGCGGGGCAAAGGCCAGGGCCTTGTAGCTCCTATGCCTTCCGCAAACGGCAGCTTGCCCTTGGGGAGTTGACTTCCGCTCGTTGTCCAGCATGCCCATCCTGATACACCCACCGTATACGATCCCTCGAGGCGATATCCCACGCCGGTGCGACGACCAAACATCCCACCTTTCCAACCACCAGCGGCGGCGACGAATGGATCACCTGTGTGCAGGTGTGCGCCGACAACCTTGGAACGCGAGCGATCCCCTTGCGCGCGCTCCTGGGGAGGGTCGACGCGAGGCGCGTGTGCCCGGATCCCGGAGTGGCGGCGGCGCTGTCGCTGGTGGCGGACGTCCACCACCTCAACGGCGGCCGGCAGGTCACTCTACGCTCCGTCTTCCGGCTTCAGGTGAGCGAGCGTGAAGTAGTTGTTGCGATCCGGACGGATGCACGGTACATGGATGGTACATAACCTGATTGTTCAGAATGCTCATTGTAACCAACGCACTTGCTTCATGATTGTGGTTGACTCCACAAACGAGTGGCGCCGATCCACAGAAGCGAAAGCTCACCGCTGCTGTAGGCCAGGTAGACATCTCTTGTCCCTCCCCCCGTGCGGATCCCTTCGCCCGCCCGCGCTTTCGTCTGTTGCCCCCCGCGTACTGCCGTCCCTGCCCCCAGAACTGCACCGACCACGCCGTGATGATATTCACCCACCCGGACCGAAAACACAAGCCGATGCACCCTCGCGCCGGCCGCGCCTACCGAGGAGGCGGCTCCTCTCCGTGGGCCGCAACCCCCGCCACCCGGGGTTTCCAAGTCGGCGGTAACGCGTTCTTCCCGGGTTCTTCTCCGTATGGCGGACAGGGGGGCAATGGGGGATCCGGGAATTCTTCGGGGGTGGGAGCGGGTGGCCCCGCGGGCGGGGTCGGGGCGGAGGGGGATGTGACCCTGGTGGAACCCGGAAAGGTAAGTAGAGTCGTATGTACCATCGAAGGTGTTTGTTTTGGTTCTCGGCGAAGGAGAGGGGACGGGAGGCCGCGTCTTGGCGGGTAAGCGAGAAGTATGGGAGGTGTGGCAGTGCCGAGGTAAGTGGTTGTTGTTGTTGGTTGTCTTCACACGAAAAAGTTCTGATCTGTGCTCAGTACCTTCCAACATCCGTACCGGTCCAACTCCCGTGGACGCCTTGCGTGGTCACGGGCCAACCACCCCAAAAACCCCAATAAAGATTGGTCGGTTTTCTTGTCCGAGTGTTTCCGTTGTTAGAAAGCGTCTACTGACCGGCTGCTTCGTCTGAATTGTTTTTCGTTTTCATTGCGCTACACATGTGCTTTTTCTTACAAGTTGTCCGCCTATCCTTTCTCGACCTCTGTGCATAGGTGTTTCACCTGCCCATCCTGCTGCTGCAGCAAGCGCTGGAGCTGGAAAGGGGCACGGGGCTGGGAAACATGTGGCTGCGTCCCGCCGCGACAGTCCCGTTCATGTCGCTGCCGCACCTCGAAACAGGTGATTTTCGACTTGATGATGCTGCCACAAGTCATCTTTTAATGAAAGTGGGGCGTGGCGTGTGACGCGCAGGGTATATTTGTGTATGTACTGCGGCGAGTTCCATCGCCCGACTCGCCCGCCGTTAGCTGGGACTGTTGTAACTGCTAAGTGTACGTCTGGCTTTGAGGATCATCGCCTCTGGGATGATCTGCCGCTGTGGCTTGGTTTTGTAGGGCTTCGATCACCGACGAAGCAGTCGGGCTATTGGTTACTTAGCGCTGTGAGAAAGTGGCGAGATGTTTATTGTAAGCAAGAGCGGCTTTGCTGATGCTCTCCTAGGTCGCTAAACGACATTCTGACTTAAGCACTTGCCGTGTGCTTGTAAAAGTTACTAATTGCGATAAATCCATCCCTGCTTCGGTGTTTGTTTTTTCCCACTGGCAGCCGCACAAGACGTGCTGTTTTCTTCCTCTCCCATCAAGCTGAACCGACTGGTTAGCTGGAGCGATGGGGCGGCGTCATCGAGTGACGTCGCAGGGATGCAGGCGAGTAGTCCCGTAGTTTTGATGGCGTCTCTCTTTTTTTCTTGTCGATACTGTTGACGTTGATGTCGGTGTTGGTGTTGGCATTGAACTCTTTGCCAGACCACCCCCCGACAACGTGATGTCGGACTCTTGATATTGATCGCTCCCACTTGTCGTTCACAACCTTTGCAAGCGCAAGTCGTAGCTGAAAGCCTGCCGTCCCAAAGCCTGCCTCATCGGCCGGAGTTTGAGGGCACGTGCCTGCCCTCCGCCGCCACTCTCTCGCTCTCTCAGCCTGGCGCAGAGAGCGTACCGCCGATACCCTTCCTGCGGCGTAAATGAGTAGTCGGAACCTTTGTCAGCTTCGTTTTGGTCGCCACCTAGCCGGATTCTGCTTTCCGCTGTGGGTGCCGCATCTTGCCTTCTCGGTTTTACTCGCCAATCGATCGAGTTTTTTTCGGCCTGTGGCGAGTTGGGGTCTGGCTGTGGATTTTCGCGTGCCTGTTGTATCAACGAGCGTGGGACTTGTTTCGGCCGAGTGTTGACTATGGCCTCAATTCAACGCACACTTTGGGACGATGAGCAGGTGGCGTGTCCGATGGCGACTCCGGTCAAGGACGGCAGGCTTCTGCCGCCCTTTGTCTACTGCGTCGAGGTGAGGTGTTTCTCGGGACGTGTCTCTTCCTAGTTCTTGAAAGGTGGTGTTGAATGGTTTATGCTTCGTGTTGTCGCTTGTTTCCGTATGACTGCTCTGTGTTCGGTAGGTTCAGGGCGCGTCCTCTTCCGTTTGTGCCCGAGTCTGGATAGAGGTGCGCTGTGGTGAATACCCTCTCTTTAGTTTTTTCCTCGCCAAACGCTGGAGCGAACCTCCTCCCGTCGAGACGTCAGGCGGACACTTTGAATACCTTCAATGTAGTGTTTATTTTGCTGTCCGAAGGTCACGACGTATCTCATCCTTGACTGCGGGATCTTAGAAGTTGATGAGGTGCGCCGTTTTCCGCTTCGCCTCTCCCGACCTTCCTCACGTCTGGTGACAACCGTGCTCGCATACTGCCGCGCCATTTTCCAACAACCCAACCCCCGTCCTGTCGTTTTGCTCGTGTCCTCCCCATCCCGTCCTGTTTGTGGGTATTTATTCGTGTCTTCCCGGTCACGCCACCCCAAGGTCCGGCGCAAGGTTCTGAAGGAGGACGCCGGGGTCGACGACCCCCCCGCGGACGCGGCAATTGCAACAGCTCTGGGACTGGGGAGTGGGTTGCATAGCCCGATGAGCAGCGGAACTGGGGTGTTCAAGTAAGGGCGTTGCTTCTTCCGATTTTTTAGTTGTTGTTGCTTGGGGTGCAGCGCTTTGTTTTTTGCCCTGCTCACACCGCGCTTTCGTGTTTTTTTTTTCCGCCTGCGTAAGGTTTGCGGCGCACGACTCGCCGCTTGTCAGAACGTTGATCTTCGGGTAGTCCCCCCACATTGTTTTTGCGCTTGTCGAGACTGTGGTGTGTTAGGTGACCGAAGTTGCTTGCATGTTCTCTCTCAACAGCTAAAAGTTAGACTTAAATGACGTAGCGAACCTTCGCGTAAATGCTGTACGTGTTTGTTGTCTTACGTCCGAGAGGGACATGCATGGGTCCACCTGCAGGCAGAATTGTCGAGCGATTTTTTCCCACGCGCTTGGTATTCCATTTCAGTCCGCTAAGCGCGGTCGATGCTTGTTCGGTGTCAATTCGTTTGCGCCCGTGTGAGGTACACCCTCCTGAATCCCTACCATGTGATGCCCACCCCCACGACAAAATTTATTTCACTCTACCTTCCTTCTCGCCCCCCGCCCCCCTCTCTCTCCCTTTCTCCCTTTCTCCCTTTCTCCTTTTCCCCTCGCCTCATTTTACTCTTCACCGCCTTCTCTCGGTTGCCTCTGCACAGAAATCTCACGGAATCCTTTCGCGGTGGCGGTAATGACGCTTGCCCGCCCAACTCGATGAGAGATGGAGGAGGAGGGGCAAGCAAGAGACACGGGAATATTTTCAAGAGCGGCGGTGGCGGCTTGACAGCTGCTCCTTCTGCAGCACCAGGTGTGTGTGTGTGTGTGTGTGTGTGTGTGTGTGTGTGTGTGTGTGTCGCGTAAACAATAACTTTGGTGAGCGCTGCCTGTGCGATGATTTCGGCTCACCAATCAAAATTTCTAGTGGTGTGTGTGCACGTGTTTGTGTTTTGGTCGTTACATACGCCCGTGCCGTGCCGTGCCGTGCGTAAACAGTTTTGCAGCAGTCAAGCTCTACTTCGTGACTTGTCCGATTCTTTGTTAGGAATCACTGCTCGCCTTTCGTTTGTTTTGGCTGCGCGTTTTTCACGCACTCGGTATCTGAAGATGAGTCTTGATTGGCGTGTCATGCTCCGCAGCTCCACTGTTGTTTCTCGTGATCGAATCTTGTGATCGAATCTTGTTTCTCGTTGAATAAGTGGAATGCCAACTCCCTGGGTTCTTGCGCACTTTGTGTCTTGTCAACGCGTGACGTCCTTTTTAACCACTCGATGTGCACTCCGCGCTTAGACTTCTCTCTCGTTTCGTATGCATGTTCTCACCCGCGAACNCTATCTCTCTCTCTCTCTCGCCGCCTGTTTCCGTGCTTGATCGGCTTTTTCGCGCCTCGCTGGCAAACCTCTCTTAAGGCGGTGGTGTCGCGGCCGGAGGTGCTCCCGCGACGGCCCCGCCGATAGAGTACACCATGATGCTGCACCCGCCTCTAGTGGTGGAGAACCTTCTGCCTTATGCGGGGTCTTTCGAGCTTGTTGACCAGGTACACATACTCCGGGATTAGCATCTGCTTTCGCTCACACTGTTCCCAAACCTTGCTGTATCGATTTGTGATTTCGGTCCATATGTCTCGGTTCTTGGTTTATGCTCTGCGCTTGACGAAGTGCCTTGGTGCCGTGGACTTGTCAGTGTCACTTGGAGCCGTGCTTCTAAACGCCGTGGTCTAGTTTTCCAGGCCACAGACCATTGGATTTTTTTTACTATTGATATCCCGCGCTCTCCCACCTCGTTTCCCAGAGCAAGACGGTCTTGTGGCGAGCCCAATTGGATTCGGGTGCAAGTATCGGCGTGTACACCGCTGGGCTCGACACTCCTCTCAAAATGTTCATCAACCTCGGCTTCTGCAGGTGTGGGCATTTCAGCGTGTTGCCTGTCCCTCACCCATGAATAGCGTTCGTGCTTTGCCTTCGACACGGAAAAAGTACCGAAGAAGGCGTGTGTGATTGACTTTTGAGCTGTTATGCCCGGGTACAATTTACCACGATGGTGGCTGCGTCGTTCTCTCCCTTCGTTTTTCGCTGCTACAAGGCTTCTTTGAACGCGTTCGGAGCTGCAGTTGGTGCTGTCCAGTGTTTCGCTCTTCCATGCAGCCCGTTCCCACGTTCACAGCCAGTTGTAATAACTTCGTTTGTCGTTGGAAGTGCGCTTTGTTTCGGTAGCAAGGTTTTTAGTTGCCTTCTTGCAGAGTGCGGCGTGGCCTGACAGTTTTTCTCCTTTTGTACCGCTGCTCCTGTCAATCAACACCACCACCGCAAACAACGACAACAACGACAACAACGACAATTTCAATAACAACAATCAAAACAAAAACAACAGGACCCACGAAGCGGTGTTGATCCACGACGGGCGCCGGGGTGCTCGAGGCAGCCTGGGAGGATTCAACCTCGCCGGCGGCGACGGTCTCAACAGCATCAACACGCGCTTCTCCACGAACGGGCACACCCGGCCGAAGAGTGGCAGCGGCAGCGGCAGCGGCAACATCGGGGAAGGGTTGTCGGCGGCAGGGAGCGCGGGCGGTCCTGGCGGAGGAGAGAAGATGCGGTCATCGGGGTAAGCTCGCCGAATGAGCCCTTGCTCTGGCCGCGGTTTCCCTCCGGGAGGGAGTTGGGTGTTTTTTTTCTTTTAGTTTTTTTGTTTGTTCTCATTAGCATCGGTTAAGGGTGGTGCCGGCACGTGCGCAAATGTCAATGTCTTACGATCATGATCACAAAACAAGCCTGGAATTGTATCGGCACTTTGACCCTTCCGCGTATTGCGCAAAGTAGTGATTCCGTCATAGTCGAGATCGCAGCGGACGTAAATGATATTTCTTAATTTCCGGTCCAGCGGTACAATAGCAGAGGGGGGGGTATTCCCGTTCATGATCATCGTGACAACAGTCGAAATATCCTATCCGTGGCGGTGTTGAATAGTGAAGCACTGTCTCAAGGTTTCCGAATCCATGCGAAACTCTGTGTTTCCTGTGTTGGGTGAGATAGTAACTTGTGGAAGGCTCCACCACACATGCCAGCGAGGGCACCTCAAGACAACATCTGTCATTTTCCGGTTCCGACATGAAAGGGATGCGTATCTCCTTCTCACGTCACGTCATGTTCCCGATGGGGTAGACCGACCCATTATAATCGGAAACTAGACCGCGATCTTCCGAGACAAAGTATTGCTGTACTCGGAACAAAATCGGCGAGTCACACAAAAAGCGTGTGCACACAACACGCAACACACAACACAGGGACAGGGAAGGTGGGGGCGGAGGAGGAGGAGACGGAGGAGGAGGGCGGCCCGCAGCGGAGCTTGGCTCCAGCGTCGCCCTCACCGACAGCGTGGGGCAGAGGGTGGAAGTCTATCTTGAGAACCGCCTCGGCGACGGTGGGCAACGAAACGTGACCGTGTACTGCCCGGTGTGGATGGTGAACACGTCGCACTACCGACTCAGGTGCCGTTCGTCCCCCCCCCCCCCCCCCCCCCCCCCCCCC